GAAATGCATCACAGTGGATGGGATCACAGCATAATACCCAACATGTGGGTGAAAGTGCAGAGACAAAACCCTAATTACCTAATTGTCTTCTGTGGGTTAAACTCTGTGCTGGGATCAAAGGGGAGGCAGACAAACAGCAGCTCACTCTGAAAGAAGGTTCCACAGGAGAAACCATTGTAGCTGAGAAATGATGGCGTTCCCCTGAATACAGGGAAGCCAAGGGTAAGTGCTCTGAGATGTAAAGGGAATGGGAGGAAAAACTTAACTGCAACCATGGAAACAGGAGCTGCAGCTGAGCCACCCTGGTCCTCACCCTGTACCTGCTCCAGAGAGGGCTGCTCATCAGCGGTAGAGACTGTGTCTGACGCTGGAGAAAATAAAGGTTAAAATCCAGCTCCTTGAAGCTGACACTTGTCTGTGGTGTCAACTTGGGGAGCTGACTTCATTTCTCTGATACTGTTTTTTTCCAGAGATTTGATATGAGTTTCCACTACAACAGTTTGATGTGAGAATTGAGAGAGAAAATGCTTAAAAATCTTTTCCTGGAATTTTGGCAAAAGTACTCAGCTTGTTATTTTACTGATCTCGGGAGGCCAAAGTAAGCGCCATCAATCATCTGCATATCACATCCAGCCAACTGAGATTCAGGGAGCTCTAGCCAGTCTGCTGGGGATTCCCAGGTGGGGCACACCACGATGAGACCCGGGTGTCCACAGCACCTGCCTCCCTGCAGCAGAGTCAGTGGCTTTTTATAGGTCCCAGGTACACTAATATAAGAGAAACATGGAAATTGACCGTCGGTCCGCTATGCCCACCAGCCAATCAGGAATGAGTATGAAAAATAACCCAACATAGATGAAGGTGGCCCTAGAGCTGGAGTGAGCAGGAGGCTTAGGTTGCCCCTGGCAATGGAGGACACCAAGCTTCTGGCTTGCCCTGGCCACTGCTGAAGGAGTGACTGGGAGCCTGGGTTGCCAGGGGCCACCCAGGTTTCCAGCCCACCATGTCCTCCGCTCATGGAGGGACTGCCTGGATGGCTGGGGGTCATGGTCAGCCTGAAAACGGCCCTCAGCCCCTTACCCAGGCACATGACTGGGTTCAATCTCCAGTACAGAACATGCAGGAGGCAGACAATATATGTTTCTCTGTCATCATGGATGTTTCTCTCTCTCTCCTTCTCTTCCTTCCTCTCTAAAATGAATTAAAAAATTTAAAAAAGAGAGAGCTAAAAGAAACATTAAAGATGAGAGAAAATCATTGAGTAGCTGCCTCCTGCATGCCATATACTGGGTATCTAGCCCAGAGTGCAGGCATTTTCCTGACTGAATGGAACTGTGACCTCCTGGTTCATAGGTCCACATGGAGCCACTGAGCCATGCTGCTGTGCTCTCAACATTTATGTTCCCTGTCCCTTGCTCCATGAAATCAATAAAAATGTTTAAGTAAATTAATATCTTTATTAAAAAAGAAAAAACATGCTGAGGCCGGTTTGGCTTGCTGGATGGAGCTTAGGCCTGCGGACTGGGAGTCCCTGGTTTGGTTCTGGTTGGGGGCGTGTGCCTTGGTTGCAGGTGCATCCCCGGTGGGGGGTGTGCAGGAGGTGGCTGATCAATGTTTCTGGCTCTCTATCTCTCTCTCTTCCTCTCTGTGGAGGATCAATAAAATATATTTTTTAAAAAAGGAAAAAACATTAAAACATATTATTCCAACACACACACACACATGTTTACTTTATAAAGTGAAAAGGGCACACACAAAAAAAAAAGAGAATAATTCCAACATCCATCTCTATTGTTTCACTGTTTTATTTGAAGAAAATTGCCAAAACTCTCAGCACATTAGGCAGAACATATGGTAAAATGTTTTAACAAAGATACAGACTCAACAAATACACTTCTGAGAAAAGGCTCACCATAAAGTCCTAGAAAAACTATAATAAAAAGTGACAAAGAATGACAAAATTACAGAATATGTTTATATAAAAATGCCTGATCAAACAAGATACTTTCGAGAATGTGAACACTTCACACACTGGTGGAAAAATGCAAAAGGGTACAATCAGTATATTTTTAAAGAATCGTTTATTGATTTTTAAGGATATATATATATATATATATTGACTTATTAGAGAGAGATGGAAAGAAGCATGAGTGATAAGAGAGAATCATAGATAGGCTGCCTCCTGCACACCCCACACTGGAGTTTGAGCCGGCAACTTGGGAATGTGCCTTGACTTGGAATCGACCCATGACCACCTGGTTCATAGGTCAAAACTCAACGAATATGCCAGGCGAGATGGGCACTTTTAAAAAAAAGATATACTTTTTGAAGGGAGAGGAATTGAGAGTTAGAAACATTGATGAGAGAGAAACATCGATCAGCTACCTCCTGCACACCTCCCACTGGGGATGTGCCCACAACCAAGGTACATGCCCTTTACCAGAATCGAACCTGGGACCTTCCAGTCTGCAGGCCGACACTCTATCCACTGAGCCAAACCTGTTAGGGTAACGTGGGCACTTTTATTATTTGGAGAAAGGAGAAAAACACGATGCAAGAGTGCAACATCGACATGGCTGCCTCCTGCACACCCCATTCTGTGAAACTAGCACACAATCCAGGCACAAGCCCAATCATCCAAGTAGTAACCCTACTGTGCATGGCTTCACACCTAAACACATAAGCTACAGCATTCATGATGGTATATTCAGTTTAGATCACACAATGTTAATCTTTGTAAGTTTAAACACTTATATACAAACCGACTCAGATTAGGCATGAAATTTTTGGTAAAGGTAAATGAAACATATCCATATATAGACTTATACAGTAATGTTTGTAGCCGCTTTATTAGAAATAACCAAATGTGCCTTAACTGGTTTGGCTCAGTGGATAGAGCAACAGCCTGTGGATTGAAGGGTCCAGGTTTGATTCCCATCAAGCACATGTACCTTGGTTGCAGGCGCATTCCCAGTGGGGGGAAGGGAGGGGGAGAGTGCAGGATTCAGCTGATCAATGTTTCTCTCTCGTTGATGTTTCTAACTCTCTATCCCTCTCCCTTTCTCTGTAAAAAATCAATAAAATATATTTTTGAAAAAGAAAAAGAAGAAATGACTAAATGTTCATAAAATGGATAAACTACTGATGACATATTCAAAGGTAAGAATATCAGAAAAAAAACATGATATACTAATATATATTTAATACATCTCTAAGAATTTATGAAATATATATTAAAGCAAAAAAAAATCCTTAGAAAAATGAAAAGCGATCTATTAAACTGGAATGTATGTCAATGTTACATAAGCTGTGAAGCACAGGGACACGTTTAAAAAAGTCATGAACCAAGTTCACAGGGACAGATCTGATTAATATTAAGATTATAATGATGGTTTTAGTTTCATTAACACATCATAACTTATAAAACAGTATACCTAACCTGTACTTTACTCATTATACCTTTTAAAAAATGATTCAAAATTTAAAAATGTGCATTTTCAACTATATTGGAAAAATAGGTTGGGCAAATCTATATTCAATTCACCTTCTTATGCCATTGGGAACAGAAAATGTAATGAACAATGAAGAACTTTCACGCAAACCAACAAGAATGCTATCTGGGTCAAAAAAGTCAGATCACTGGACTACAGACACCCTTTGCCTTTGTCTTTGTTTTTCTGCCAGCACACCAATGGATATGAGGTGAACCTCTGAGAGGATACAGGAAGCCACAAAACCTCTTGATTATAGTCAATGACAATAACTGTGTCCACAGAAGATCAACATGCCTGGAGATCCTCACATCTGTGTACACACTGCTCCTGTAGCCTTTTTCTCAGAAACATTCTTGCATGCAAGTTTAGATGAGGAACACTCCATCTAATGGGCTGTAATCCCCTGCAAACTCATTAGGTCAATGTTTCCGTAGTGAAATAGTTTCCCCTAAGTGCTATAGTACTCCTGTCAGTGACCTTTAGCCATCTAATTGTAGGCATTAGGGCACATGGCCCTCCGCAAGACCTGGGCAAGTGTATGGGCATCTATTGAGAAACAAGAAAAATTTTTGTGCTGCTAGAAAATTTACACAGCTACCCCATTATTGGAATGATCTCTGTGTCTCAAAACGTCCATCTTCACATGAGGACTAGAGAGTCTACAGTGTTTCCTGGGATATTAAGGGCAGCGATGTAAATTTGGCAAAAACTGCTGTGGAAATGTCTACACCATACCATTCCTTCAACGTCAAAGAATGTTTGAGGCTCCATAACTTTTCACCTCATCATGCTAGGAGAATCCAGATCTCCATATAAACTAATCCACAGAGTCGATATAACACCCAAGATTAAAGAAGTCTTAGAAAAAAGCCTTCATTATTTTGCAAAGAAAGAGACCGGAGAGTGGCAGTTCTTCCATTGATGATGTAGGCACTCAATAAATTCATCACTGGCCACAAGGGAATGTGTGTTGCTGAAAATGGAAGTCCCTCTGAAACATGTTTACTGGCACCAATAGTAATCAGTCCTGTGGAAACTCTTAACAGGGACATAAGTAAGAACTAAGGGCTCAGGTATTCCTAATATTTTCTTCAACAAATTACACAACAGAGTTAGCTTCACTGTGCAAATAAGGATGGTGATTGATGCCATCTGTAAGAGCCGTAATAGGGGCCCTACATGGTTAAGGTGAAATACCTTCAGCAACAGAAATATGCAGTGACATAGATCTGGCAACATGTCTCTCTATGTATGTCGAACAGGGCAACATCGATACATATGGTTCTAGCATAAAAACAAACACAATAGCAAAAACCTTTGGGGACTTTACATAATGTGATTAAATGCATGAGATACAATTCAGACAAATGAGACTTCACAAATTTTATTATACTATTGTGAAGACCTAACTAAGAAACTACATTTCCTACACACCTGCGTAATTACTCACATTTGGACTCATATGTGCAGAGCAAATTTAGAAATTTGGCTGTGATATCTCTAATGTTATTTGCAAGCATAATGGCTTTCTCCAGTGTGGACTCTCTGATGATACTGGAGACCATTGCTACTTTTAAAACATTTCACACATTCATTGCATTTATAAGGCTTTTCGCCTGTATGTACTCTCCGATGACGATGAAGGGCAGTGTTCCAGGTAAAAGATTTCCCACATTCACTGCACACATAAGGCCTTTCTCCTGTGTGAACTCTCCGATGAGAAGAGAGTTCACTGCTCCTGGTAAAACATTTCCCACATTCACTGCATTTATAAGGCTTTTCTCCAGTGTGAAAACTTTGATGATAATGGAGGCTACTGCTATTGGTAAAAGATTTCCCACATTCACTGCATTTATGAGGTTTTTCTCCAGTGTGAACTCTCTGATGCCGATGAAGGAGAGAGCTCGTGATAAAAGATTTTGTACATTCACTGCAGTTATAAGGCTTTTCTCCATTGTGAACTCTCTGATGATAATGAAGGTAACTACTAGTGGTAAAAGATTTCCCACATTCATTGCATTTATATGGGATTTCTCCAGTGTGAACTCTGTGATGACGATAAAGATGAGACGTTGTGAGAAACGATTTCCCACATTCACTGCATTTATAGGGCTTTTCTCCAGTGTGAACTCTGTGATGGCGATGAAGGTAACTGCTAGTGGTAAAAGATTTCCCACATTCACTGCATTTATAAGGCTTTTCCCCAGTATGAACTCTCTGATGACAATGGAGGTCACTGTTACTGGTGAAAGATTTTCCACATTCACTGCATTTATAAGGTTTTTCTCCAGTGTGAAAACTTTGATGATAATGGAGGCTACTCCAATTGGTAAAAGATTTCTGACATTCAATGCATTTATAAGGTTTTTCTCCAGTGTGAACTCTCTGATGACGACAAAGGTCACTGATGGTGATAAAAGATTTCCCACATTCACTGCATTTATAAGACTTTTCTCTAGTGTGAACTCGCTGATGACAATGAAGGTCACTGTTAGTGGTGAAATATTTCCCACATTCAATGCATTTGTGAGGCTTTTCTCCAGTGTGAGAACTTTGATGATAACGGAGGCTACTCCAATAGGTAAAAGACTTCCCACATTCACTGCATTTATATGGCTTTTCTCCAGTGTGAAATCTCTGATGACGACGAAGGTCACTGCTAGTGATAAAAGATTTCCCACATTCAATGCATTTATAAGGCTTCTTTCCAGTGTGAAAACTTTGATGATAATGGAGGCCACAGCTACTCTTGAAACATTTCCCACATTCACTGCATTTATAAGGCTTTTCTCCAGTCGGAACTCTTTGATAACGATGAAGATTACTGCTGCCATGATCTTCCTCACATTCTTTTCTGGTGTAAAAGTCTTTTCTGCTTTGAAACATCAAACCACCCTTGGAAATATCATTTGGCCTGTCCCTTGTCTCATCAGCCTTTAAGTGGAGATGCCCTGACCAGGAAAGTGTGCCCTGCCCAACCTCCCCACAGGTGAAATGATTCTGGGACACATTGAAATTGCAGATCTTTGCAAGTGACATCCTCTCCACACCCCTAATGAAAGTGTTCTCTCTCACATGCTGCTGCTGAAATTTGACACTGAAATAAAATTGTTTTCCACATGCCCCACACCTCAGCTGTATCCGTCCATGTTGTGTTCCCTGCAGCTCAGTCAAGTGGAAAATCCTTCTCAAGACTAGTCCACAGCTCTCACAGGGGTGGTTCTTCTGTGAAGTCAAGGCTATCTTGGGATTCCTGGCCTCTGACAATCTTACAGAATTGTTCTGTTCAGTCGGTACCTCCACATTCTGTGCTCTACAGCAGCAACCTGAACAAAAGGAAATACTAGTGAGGTACATGTTGACCTTAGAAAAAAAGAATATCTTCACCAAAAATGTTTCCCTGTCATCACTGGACATGAGTCCATAGAAAATTTTAAAGACAAGTCAGTTGAACTCTAAGGAAATAGCTGTTATACATTAGCTGGCCTCAAAGGTCAGTCAATGGTGAAAATTTCACCAAAACAAAAGCTTAGGGTGGTTAATCAGTGATTCTCTCTCATTATTGATGTTTCTGTCTCTCTATCCCTTCCCCTTCCTTTCTCTAAAAATCAATAAAAATAATTTAGAAGCAACCAAAAAAGAAAAGTAAACCCAAAGCTAGCAAAGAAAATAAACAATGAGAATTAGAACAACCATTAATAAACTAGAGACAAAAGTATATCATAACCAAGAGCTATATTTTGTTGTTGTTTATCCTCACCCGAGAATATATTTTTCATTCATTTTTAGAGACAGTGCAAGGGAGAGAAAGAGAGAAAAATACACAAAAACATAGAAGTGGGAGAGACTCCCTCACAGGCTCCAACAGGGATGAGGATCAAAACTGCAAATCAGGTTAATGCACTTAATCAGAAATCGAACCCATGGCCCTTTGGTGTTTGGGCCTACACTCTAACACCATGCCTTCCAGGCCTAAGAGCTATTTCCTTTTTAAAATACACACCAATTTGGCAAATCTTTATTGAGTCTAAAACAAAAGAAACAACACTAAAATGAGTTTAAAAAAGAAATGAAAGATAAGACATTACAGCAGACAGTGAAGCACAACCCATGAGAGATTTTGCCAAATGACCTGAACGTACATGGAGAAAATGGTAACGAACTCTCTATAAACTCCTAAAATTAGTTTAAAAAATTCAGAGCCCTCATTTTGTCACTCAGTTTGTGAGAGTGTGGTTCTGATGCGCCAAGGTAGTGGATTTGATTTTCCATCAGGGTACAAGCAGGGGGCAGCCAATGAATAAGCAGATGAGTGGAAGAGCTGAACAATGTCTTATACACGCACTCTAAATGCAATAAATGTATATTAACTAAAAAATTAATTCAGAAATGTTACAGGATAAAATATCAACATACAAACATCAGTTCCATTTCTAAACTCTAACAATGAATTTTTTGAGAAGAAAAGGAAGAAAGGTCCTTCGTTGTGTTGCTCCATTGATTGAGCATTTTCCAATGAACTGAAAGACCACTAGTTCTATTGCTGGTCAGGGTACATATTTGGGCTGGGGGCAAGATCCCACGTAGGGAGAGGGCAGCAGGCAGCTGAACGCTGTTTCTCTGCTGGATGTTTCACTCTCTCTCCACTCCTCTTCTTCTAAAAAAATAAAAAATAAATAAATAAACAAAAACGAGAAGAAAAGAAGAAATGAAGAAAGTAGTCAAGTTTACAATGGCATTGAAAAGAATAAAATATACAGGAATATATTCAACCAGAAAAGTGAAAGATCTGTGTATTGAGCACTAGAACACAGTGGGGAAAGAAATGGAAAAAGAGACAAAAAAGTGGAAAGACATTTGGTGCTTTTGGATTTAAAAATGTAATATCCTTAAAATGTCTATACTACCCAAAGGAATCTCCAAGTTAAATGCAATCCGATGATAATACCAATGTCTGAAACCTCAAAAGACCTCAAACAGCAAAAGTAATCTTCAGCAAGAACAAACCTGGTGGCATCACAATTCCTGTCTTCAATATATTACAAAGCCGAAGGCACCAAACAGTGAGTTATGGAAATATACCCAGAAATACAGACCCAGAAACAAAAAACAGAGCCCAGAAATAAACCCAGGCACAAAGGTTCAGGTAATCTTTGACAAAACCACAAGAAATGTTAAGAAAGGACAGTTTCTTCAATGAAGGGTATTGAAAAATATAGATATTCACATGGAAAAACAAGAAAAACACTGATAAACACTTACTCAGATTGAATGAAAATTAAATGTCTAGGTTAAAACTTTAAAGTCCTTCAAGACAAGCCAGAGAAAATGCTTTGGAGATCTGGACATGCTTTCTAGGATGTGACACCAACCCGCAGGCAAAAAAGAGAGAAATCAATGGTCCAGGCTAAAACAAATGAAAACAATTTCCCCAGCACAATAAGCAATTAACAAAATAAAATGAAAAGGCAATCGACAGGAGGATAAGAGAGGATACTTGCACATCATATGAACATATTGAAGATATTGTGGATTTAGTTCAGATCAGCCAAATAAAGCAAATACTGTGATACAGAAAGAAAGTCATGTTATGTTAACGCTATAAGGAAGGCTATGAAGACGACTATAGTGTTGCTGGAAAAAAATTCTACATCAATTCATTAAAAACACTTTATGGGTAAACACTGGTAAGCAGATCTGAGCCTGATGGAAAAATAGCCACACTAGACTTCCTGAATGTGGAAATGCCTGAAACATGGAATTTGTACATAAAACAAGAATGTAATATTTGGGAAGCACAATTAAGCAAAGTAAAAGGAGATGTATCTTATTATAAACTAGAAAAACATTCAAAACACTCATTAGCCAATAAATAGGGTTAAAAATAGGACTAAAGCCCTGGCTGGTTTGGATCAGTGGTTGAGGTTCAGCTCCTGGTCAGGGTACATGCCGGGCTTGTGGGTTGGAGCTCATCATTGATGTTTCCATCTCTGTCTTTCACTCTCTTATCCTCTCTGAAATCAATAAACAAATATTTATGCCCACCCCCAAAATAGGACTAAATACAGTAAGTAGAGCCTTCTTTCAAAAAATATCTACAAATGACCAACAGGAAGAATATGCTTTTGCTCAAGACTCAACTGGAATCCATTAGGCTCCCTGCCACATAACCAACCACAAACCCTTCCCTCTGAGTTCAGTACAGCAGGTGTGTGACTAAAAGTATAGAAGGGAGCAGTGCAATCAAACCAACCATGCCAACTACAGCAACTTCCCAGAAAACTAGAAACACCATGCAATGTGTTCAGTCCACAGGTGAGGACAGAGCACCCCCTAGAGGTCAGGGGGCATAAGAAATGCAAAGCCAAGTCCCAGGAACCAGCCAGAGTGAGGGTCTTACCCAGCGAGGATACAAGTTCAAAGTTCTCCATCATCACATTCAGGAACAGCTGTCTCTGACTCTCATCCAGGAGGCTCCATTCCTCCCTGGAGAAGTACAGGGCAATGTCCTCAAAGGTCACGCCAACCTGTCAGAATGGAGATAACTGAAACCAGACCTGCCTTTCTGAGAACCAGCCATCCTACTCCTTACACACCTTCCTCACCATCAACCTCCACCAGCCCTAATGCCTGTGCTGGCTGCTCTCTCATCACAGTCCCATTATTCGCTGTGATTGCCCTCAGCACAACACATGGGTAAGAAGAGAAAATCAACAGTCCAGACTAACACAAATGAAAGACCATCTAAGCAGTTCTCAGGAATCGCCCAGACCATTGGAAAACACAGATATTTACATTACGATTCATAACAGTAGCAAAATTACAGTTATGAAGTAGCAACAAAAATAATTCATCCCGGGAAGAGTCATGCCACACTGGCCAGAGTCGCATTATGCCAGTCGCAGGTCCCAGGACCCCTGTCACTCAGGCAGCGAGCTCTGGGACCACTACAGGGAGCCGCTGAGTGCACGCCACCCTGCCATGGGCTCTGGGACCGCACACTGAGCTGCACCCAGTGAGACCTCAGGCAACCCTTGCCACATGAGCCGGAACCACGAGCACATCCACAACGGGGTCAGGCGTGAGTCACATGGCAGACGACCTGTAAGGAGACTTCATCCACGAACAAGAAACTAACATTTAAGACTTAACTACATCAGGAGAATCCAATAATGCAAATAGGAGATCTCCACTAGAACACGCTGCTCAGGAGATCTGAGAGACGGCACCACTGGGTCCCACAAATCACCAACTACATAGGACACCCCCACAAAAAGCTGGGTGGCAGAGCAGTTGGATTGAAGACATAGAGGTAAGAGATCTCTATTCATAAAACTACAGGACGTTGAAAGAAGAGATAGAGAAAGACATAAACAAATGGAAGAATATACATGGGTTCACGGATTGGTAGAATCAACCTCAATAAAATGTCCATACTACCCGCCCTAACCGGTTTGGCTCAGTGGATAGAGTGTCGGCCTGAGGACTCAAGTGTCCCAGGTTCGATTCCGGTCAAGGGAATGTACCTTGGTTGCGGGCACATCCCCAGTAGGGGGTGTGCAAGAGGCAGCTGGTCGATGTTTCTCTCTCATTGACGTTTCTAGCTCTCTATCCCTCTCTCCTCCTCTCTGTAAAAAAATCAATAAAATATACATATTTTTAAAAATAAATAAAGAGCCACTGTTCTCAAAACTGCTTGGTATTGGCCAATAGACCAATTGAACAGAGAACCCAGAAACTGACCCGAGCCATTATGCTCAATTAATATTTGACAAAGGAGGCAAGAGCATACAATGGAGTCAAGACAGTCTTTCAATAAATGTTGTTAGGAAAATTGGACAGATGCATAAAAAATTAAATTAGACCACCAACTTACCCCACACACAAAAATAAACTCAATATGGATAAAAGACTTAAATGTAAGGTATGAAACCATAAAAATCTTAAAATAAACAATTGGCCGCAAAATCTTTAGACTTCTCTTGCAGCAATATATTTACCAACACAGCTCCTAGGACAATGGAAATTAAGGAGAAAATAAACAAATGGGACTACATCAACAAATGGGACTGCACAGCAAAAGAAACCATCAACAAAATAACAAGAGATCCCACTGCATGGGAGAACATATTTGTGAATGATTATTTCCGATAAGGGGTTAACCTCCAAAATCTACAGGGAACTCATACAACTTAACAAAAGGAAGATAATCCAATTAAAAATGGGTAAAGGATCTAAGTAGATACTTCTCCAAAATGGACATTAGGAAGTCAAAAAGGCATATGAAAAAAATGCTGTCACAAATCACCCAAGAGATGCAAATTAA